GCGGATTACGGGGTACACGCGGTCCGGGAGTCTCCTTCCGGACTCTCCTGCCCTGTGGCGTAGGTCCGGCATTGACGTCCGACCCCACCTCCTGCGCGCTGGCCCGGAGAGAGGCCGGAGCCGGGCCTGGAGACGTGGCACAGCCTGCAGGAGGCCGCCGCTCCTGGAATAGGATGCGGTCGCTCAGGCTCTGGAGTTCACAGACCCGGACAGGTAACGGGAGAGGGCTTATTTTCCCTGACGATCCGCTGTCGCTTCTCCAGGACTTTTGCACTCTGGTCTTTTTGTTTGGGACCTGTTTGAGTCAAACTGGCAGAGTAACCCATTTCCTAGGTGGGCAGAATTTGTTTTTGTCAGAGTACTTACTTGGAGAGATAACGTATACTTTTCAACCAATGTGACACATCTTGGCATTTCAGTCCTGTTCAACTGCCACTTAAATCAGTGAGCATTTAGGAAAGTTTATTTTGGCATTGAAGCTGAGAGTGCAGAGACCTAATTCACATTCTGGTCTGGTGCTCACTGTCAAGTACTAGAGGCAGTCTTTTGGCACCGGTTTATCAACAGTGATCTTATGTAGTGCTTTAAGTTCATCAGAGCTCCCATGTGTTTCTTTTCTTCCAAGTAGCCGTCACTTTTTTTAGAGCCTAAAGTCAAAGTACACGCAGACTGGAAGAGCACATCTGGCTAGAGACTGCGGGCTCAATTTTCCAAGCCGTTGCCACCATTATTTTCTTTCTTTATATCAGTACTTTTCTTTGGTCCGAGAGTTTTACCGGCTCTTGGTACTCAGTGCTATTTTATGTTTTTTAGAAGGTATGTTTATGCATGCACATTTTCCTACAGTATTGTAGTTTGACCATTTCTCAACTAGTAAAGCCTTGAGAGGCTTGCATTTGCTTACTTTAGGGATTAGGGTTATCTTTGGATGCAACCCACTGGCCACCAGTAAGGGCTAGGTAGCATCTGTGCTAGGAAGGTGAATGAATGGCCAATTAAAAAACGAGGCAAAGAAAATAAGTGGCTTTTTAGGAAGTTGTGCATTTTTGTCTCACCCCCCACTCCTCAGTTCTGTGCCTACTTCTTCCTTGTGAATACCTCTAAGTTCATCTCTAGTTTAGCGAATCTGTCATACCTTTCAGATAGCATCCTTTCTGGCCTACAGAATTAAATACTGTTTCCTGTTCCCACCTTGAAACACAGTGGCTTTTGGATACCATAGGCTCTGCTCACCTCATTTTCTAAAGCTGATAGGCTGGCTACCTGAATAAACTAGGTTGGGTTTTAAGTCATAGTCTCTTTTCTCTCCACATATTCTTATTAGATGATCTCATCACAGAACTCGATTTTAGAAAGCATCATTACACTGACGACACCCAACATTTATGTGGTTTTGGAGCTCCACATCAACTCAGTGTGCCTGCTGGAATGTTTCAAGGAGCTTGAAATTAGCCCATCAAAGACTGAACACTATGACCCCAACCTTCTGCCCCCCCAGCCCCCCACCCCCGCAAAGACAACATCCAGCACCTTGCCTGCTAGCTACCCTACCTTCTTAGTGAATGACACTGCCGTGTATCTGATTGTTTAAACCATGCCCCTTTCCTCCGAGCCTCCATATCTGGTCACTGAGTTTTATTACATGAACATTTTAAAAATCTTTTCTCTTTCTCCAGCATTTTCACTGTAGTCTATGTCAGTTTTTCAACCTGGTGCTAGTGACATTTGGGGTTAAGTAATTGTATGATGTGCTTTGATGAATTTTTAGCAGTAGCCCTTGCTTCTACCTCCTAAACTTCTGTAACCTTCTAATTGTGACACTCAAAAGTGTCTCTAGACCACTACTGAAGGAACCAAGGGAGGCATAATCACCCTCTCCCGTTTGTGAGAATCACTAGGTTGTTAATTTTAGCTGTTTCTGGAGCTCTCTTACTGAGCTGTCTGCATCACTCTGTGCCTTTATGATGGCCTAATCGACATACTGTAATCAAAGGAATGTTTTCAAAACACAAATATAACTTGTCAATAACTAACATCAGCCTGAATATTACTCAGCAGGTAAATCTGTACAGTAGAATACTATTCAACAATAAAAGAACTTTTGATACATGCAACACCTTAGATAAATTTCAAAGGCATATGTTGGTTGAAAACAACCTGATCTTAAAAGGTCTTAAGAAGAAACCTTTTAAGATCATGAAATGATCTTAGAGAAAGTGTGAGAGATTGCATCAGTGGTTGCTGCCCGGGCTTCTAGTTGATGGGAGGATTGGTGTGAGGCAGTCTTTTGAAGTGATGAAACAGTTTTGCATCCTAATTGTGGTGGTGATGATGAGAGCCTGTGTATATGATGTAACATCATAGAACTGTACACACACACATGAGTAAAAACAAAAACTGGTGAAATTCAGTTAAGGTCTATATTAGTTAATAGTATTGTACCAGTGCCGGTTTCCTGGGTTTAATCATTGTACTCCTAGCACATGACATGCTATCATTCAGAGAGGCTGGATTTGGAATACTCAGTGTTCTTGTGAAGTTAAAATTTCAGAAAAGTTACAGTGACTTTCTGTTCTTATAGACGCATACACACTCATTTCCTGAACCTGGCTAATAAGGCCCAGTGTGATCTGGGCTCCTGCCTATCTCTTCAGTCCTCATTCTTTTCTGTTCCTTGCCTTGCAGGGTTTCTTGAAATGTACCTTGTTCCATTAATACTATTGGAATAATACAGCAGTAGCACTCCTGCCTTACATGGCAGTTACACCTGTTGTATTTTCACTTTTGTTTTTTGAAGCTGCCTTATCTCTGTCTCTTGCTCTAATTAAGTTCCTTTTCTCCTTCAGATTTCAGTTTATTTGTTGCATCTTTGGAAAAAGCCATTTCCTGACCTCCCAGTGAGACATATTCCCGTCACATTGTGTTCTTACTCAGCACCCAATGCAGACCACAGCTGCCTGTTCGAGTTGTGTTGGTATCGTTTTCTGTTGGTGTTTTTGATTGTACTGGACTGTAAGTCTGCTGTTGGTTTTGCTTACTGTTGTGTTGCTACAGGCAGCAGGGTAGATAATGGCTGGTGAGCTTTGGACCCTCACAGAGTATTTGTTAAATGAGTACAAATATCAAAAACAAATTTGGCTCAGTTAGGGATTTTTCCTTGAGATGAACTGATTTATAATATTTAAGGGAGTTTTTTTTGTTTTGTAACCTATTATTACCTATCAGGACCTTCCTGTCTAGAAGTATGCTTGTGTATGTGTGCGTGTGCCCTTTTCTAGAACTCAAGGCGTATAATTTATCTGTTACCAAGTGTACTTTAAAAGGTGAATTAGAGAGACTTGAAATTAATGCGTTTATCAAGTTGAGCTCATTTTGATTTTTTAAAAATGTTAATAGGTTTAGCCCACACAGAATGTTCCATGAGGGAAGAGGTTAATACATTTATCGTGTCACACACATTCGAAGTTTTCCTGTTAATAGGAGTAGCACACAGAATATTTTATGAAGGGAGAGGGTTTCAAAATTGCATTAAATGTTTTACTTTCATTTAAAATATCATGACTGAAATGTAGACATAACTCTAATTCATGTGACAGAAATCAAATTGGCAGTTTACTGTTTGAAATATGTTGGTGTATTAATGATACAGTTAAATAAAATTATTTCCTAAAATGTGTATATGGAAATGACACAGATTGTTTGCGTAGTACGTATCCTCAAAACATTTTGTTAAGAATTTTGATAAGCCCTTCATTTGGAAATAAGTGGCATTCAAAATAGTAAAAGCAGGTATCTGTCTCTTGATGATTACTCTTATTTTTTTCCTAACTATGCAAGCTTTAAAGATGTAATTTTGGGGCCGGGGATGTAGCTCAGTGGTTTTGCCACCAGCCTGGCAAGCGCAAGGACCCGAGTTTCATCCCCGGTACCAAAAAATAAATAAATAAATAAACAAACAAATAAAGTTTCCAAATGTAATTTTGATTACTTTGTAAAACTTACTGCATTTTTCTGTTTTCACAGTATCCCATACCTGAAGCAAAATGATGGAAGAGAGTGGAATAGAGACCACACCGCCTGGGACTCCTCTGAATCCCGCAGCAGTGGCTGCCACTGCCGTGGCTTCACCCCCAGGTACTGTGGTTGGCCAGCACCTAATGTATTCATCAGGGCTAATGAGGATACTGCTGCCTTTTCTGTCAGTTAAAAGCAGGATGCCTATAGTAAAACTTTAACCTTTGTCTGGGTAAAGAAAGATATTTTATTTAAAGAATTTATTAAAAGTAAAAAAAGTGTTAATGCTTTGCTTTAGGTAGAGTTTTGTTCTTTATATTCATGTTACGTATAAGTCAGTGACAGAATATTCTTAAAAGTATATGTTATCTTTGATATTTTGTCATGGTTACTACTTTTGAACATGCAGAATGGCTTTATTTTATTAAAAACACACCCAAACAAATGAAGGAAAAAAAGAAAGGTCTACTGTTGAGCAGTGCCATAATTTAATAACATATCTCTGCTGCTTTTACTTCTGGGAGTTGAAAATCTTTTTCATTCAAGCATATTGTTTTATATTTTAAATTACATATTTAGAAATCATTCTTGAGAATGATGTATTAAGTTAAAACTCTTTGCAGTAGACAGTCCTGTGAATTTGACAGCAATATGAAAAAAGCATTTGAGTTTAGTCCCGTTATCATCTCCGTGTTTTCTAGCTGCAGCCAGTTCTTTCTCTTCTCCAAATGTGTCCGCCGTGGAGCCCTTGCCGCCTCGTGCGTATTCTACCCCTCAGCCATCCCACCCTCCTGGGCAGCCACCGGCTCTCGTCTCTCTCTCCGCCACTCCTCCCGTCCCTCCACTTGGTGCTTCTGTGCCCCCTCCGCTTCCTTCAGCTACCGCTGCGACCTCCAGTGACCCTCCTCCCTCCCACTTCCCGCCTGCACCCTGCGCCCCAGGTGCTCTTTTGTCTGCACCTCCTCCGGGTCCTCCCGTGTCAGGCTTCTCTGTTGGGGCATCTTACGACATTACACGAGGACACGCGGGAAGAGCACCCCAGACGCCACTGATGCCATCATTTTCTGCACCTCCAGTGACAGGTAATTCTCTTTTATTAATGCTTTGAGATTCATGGCTAGATTAAATGTTGTTTTAGTTTATACAGAGCTTTATTGAATATCATTCATGGTGCACAGTTTAGTAGTTTTCACACATTAAGTTGTATAGCCATTGCTACAATCGATTTTATAACGTTTCATTACCTCAAAAAGAAATCCTGTGCCTGTTTCACCCCTGTTCTCTGCAGTCCTCACAGCGCTAGGCAACCACTAATCTATGGATTTGCTTATCCTGGGCATTCCATGTAAGTGGAGTCATGTTGGGGGATTTTTGTGGAGGGCATTCATTTCATTTCGGACATTTTCAGGGTTTATCCATATTGTAGCTTGAGTTTGTACTTCATTTCATGACTGAATAATATTCCATTATGAGAAAATACCCCATTTTTAAAATTCAGTTTAGGTGATAATTACATTTCTACTTATCCATTTCGATAATGCTGTTATGAAGCGTTATGTATAGTGTGGACAAGTTTTTGTTATTGTTGGGTATAGTTTCTTCTTGTTTCTCTCATTTCAATTATAAAAAATAATTCATATGTTGTGATGCATGCCTATAATTCCAACACTCAGGGAAGCCGAGGCAGGAGGATCACAAGTTTGAACCCAGCCTGGATAACTTTGTGAGATCCTGTCTTAATTAACTCTAAATGTAAAGGACTGAGGATGTAGCTCAGTGCCAAAATCTTGGGTTAATGCACAGTATAGCAAAAAGTAAAGGTTGCTCTAACTTTGTATATGCTGCAGGGAGTATAGCTCAGTATTAGATTGCTTGTATAGCATGCAGGAGGTCCTGGGTCAGTCCCTAGCCTTGAAAACAAACAACTTGATTAATATAAGAAATGTCAGAAAGAATTCCAAAATTTTGTCATAATTTTGTCCAAAATTTTGTGCATTTACACAGAAACATCAGAGTGAAGTTTAAGAGTTAAAAGCTCTTCTTTAAAAATTATCAGGACTGACCGACTGGTCCAGGGAATAGTTTTTATTCAGTCAGGTAAAAATTCAAAACCAAATAAAAGCTCGTGTACCAAAAGTTAATGAAACTGGTTTCATTTTGATGAATGTTTTTTCTCAGTTAAAATGAAATGTATGCAGTATACATGGTGATTGTTGTGTACCTTTTACGATGGACTTAGGTGCCCACTTATATTTTGGATCAACTGTTGCTTTCTTCAAGTACTAGATAGGACAACATGAAAACTTTTCTCTAGTTACATATATACATATATATGTATGTATCTTTTTTCATGACAGCGTAACTGAGTCAATGGAAAGAAATTTATTTTTTGGAATTCTTTTTAATTTACATTATAAAAGGTTTGGTTTGGGTGGTTTTGAGTCTCTAACTCAATTTTGAAATACTTGAGAATGTATAGTTACATTATTAAAGTTGTTTTGGGCTGCTTATATACTATATCTTTTTATGTAAAAAGTTCATGGAACAAGTCACGCTCTTTTGCCATTGCTAGGTGTTTTGCCAACCCCTCTTACTCAGCAAGCCAGTCTGATGTCTGTGGTGCCAGGCGCTGGTACCACGTCAGCCATTACTTTCCCAGAGGAGCAGGAAGACCCTAGGATCAGAAGAGGTCATGATGAAGCATCTGCTGGTGGAATATGGGGTTTTATTAAGGTAAGGGACAGGATATTTAGTTTTTAAATTATGTTTTATTTTTTTATTACAAAGTAATAGGTATTCACAGAAAAAAATTTGAAAATAGAAGATGACCCAAGGAAAGAATAAGAATTCTGTTAGTTTGCTCTCATTGCTCCCATTTTTTGTCCGTATCTGTGTAGATGTACCCATTCTGTTAATAAAAATAAGTCGGAACAATGACATGGGGGTATTTCTTTGTGTTTTTGGTTGTCCTTTACCTTGAAGATATAAACATCTTCCTAGCCATATGTTTAGGAATGCATTTTTATTTTCAGAACTGAGCATTGAATCCAGGACTCACCCCAAACTCTTTTTTAATTTTTATTTTGAGACAGAGTCTGAGTTGCTAAGTTTCCCAGGCTGGGCTTGAACTTACAGTTTTCCTTCCTGCCTCAGCCTCGCAGAGTGCTAGGCTTGCAGGTGTGTGTCTCCACACTTGCCAAGCAGTGTATTTTTTATGGCTACTTTGCCATACGTGATATTGCATTTATTCTCCTTGTTTTATTTTATTAATCCGCTATTGGCATTTTCTAATTATGAATTTTAAAATTTATTTTAACTGAGAAACATTGTGTAGATTTATCATGTGCAGTATGATGTTTTAAAAGGTGTAGACATGTGGGATGGCTAAATTGAGCTAATGAACATGTATTACATCATCATTGTGGGGGAGGAAAGACTTGAAATCTATTCTCACCAACTTTCAAGACTATAATATTGTTACTAACTGTAGTGACCAGATTGTGGAATGATTTGTTCTAATTGTAATTCTTATTAATAAAACTATGAGGGGTAGTCTTCTTTATAAATCTTTATAGGTATCTCTGTTGCAAGATAATTAACTCTTGGCTATAAATTTGAAATACAGTATTGTGTGATAGGCAATTTAGAACCTCATTTTCATTTGCATTTCTTTGCACTGACCTTGAACTCTTTTCATGAAATTTTTAGTCATTTCTGTATTTTTTCTGTGAATTCTTTGTTTATGTTGTCTAGTTTAAAATTGGAATGATTTTCTTAAGGGATTTTTAAGAGTTCTTAATAGAAGAATATTTTGTTGTATGTTACTATATGTTGGGTTTTTTTGCATTTTTATTTCATTTACTGTGCTTTTTAAACAATACTTCTTAAATTTTCTTTCAATTTCTTTGTTTTTATGCTAAAAAAGACTTTCCTGCTAGCAGTATATGACATATTTCTCCTTGATATCTTCTAATTCTATTATTTCATTTTTTTAATACTTAAAAGTTTAGCTGATACTCTTCACTGCATTGTGTAAGGTAGAAATCAAACTTATTTTCCAACTATGTAATGGACTGTTTCGGTGTTCTAATTGAAGTAATTTGACATGTCATCTTTATCTTAGTTGCTAAATTCTATGTTGACAGTAGTTTCTGGGCTTTTTACTCTGTCCCTCTGTTCTCTGTCTGTCTCTGCAGTAGTAGCCCACTGTTTTAATTGCTGTAACTCCTGGCCCCTTTATTGCACTCTGTGTTGAAGGTCTGCCTTGTGCAGGTGGGCCTGGGGGGTGTCAGTGACAAGTAAGCTAGAAAGGGTGCCTACAATTCTGTGTTTGTAATAATGTATTGGTATTGAGGTGTCTAAACTTCCGAATTCTCTTCAACATCTTTGTTGGTCTTTTCCCACTTTTCTCAGCGAATTTTGGAATCATTTTGCCAAGATCCTTCCAATATTCTGCTGAGAGATTGTTTGCAATTTCATTGGATATATATTAAATGTATTTTCAAATTGTTTTTGTTTTTGGTTTTGGTTTTGGTTTTTTTGAGACAGAGTCTCACTATGCACATGAGACTGACCTGGAACTCACTATGTAGCTCAGGCTGGTCTCGAACTCACAGTGATTCTCCTGACTCAGCCTCCTGAGTGCTGGGATTACAGGTGTGTGCCACCACGCCCGGTTTGTATTTTCAAATTGTTAAGTGGTTATCTCATTTATCTTATTTGTGCTTCATGTTTCAGGAATGTGACTTTTTTCCAAACTTGCAGTTTTATGTCTCTCTGTACTTCTAAAAGTTTTCTTTGTATAACAATTACAGCTCTTTTTTTTTTCACCTGTCATGAGCAAGGTGTCTGTATGTCATCTTACCAGTTGTGATGCCCAGTTAGCTCTCCAGGTGTAGTAATAGTATTAACTTGTGATTTTCAGCATAGAGTTGGTCAGTAGTCTTAGGAACACATTATGTTGTGCAGAATTGCCTTGGTTTACTGATAGGTTGAAAGGGGAATGCAACTGTCACATGCTGGGTCAGGAGCCACGTCTTTTAGTGCAAGAAGAGACTCTCAGACATGGTTCCTTTCCAATTCTGTGGGTCTCCAGATTCGGAGGAAGAGGTCTGGCTAATATATGAGGATTTGGGAGTTTGGAAATAAACAAAATGAAAAAATCAAGAAGGAAGAAAGAAGAAACTGTAGTAGAACATAGTACAGTGTTCTGTTAAGGTAGTAGGAACAGTTCAAGGGAGTAAAGGTGAGAAGTTTTTACTGAAACATGGACTCAGACATCTGATTGTAGTCTTTGAGACCCTGAGAGGTAATCTTTTAGATAAATAAATAGAAATGAAACATGTAATTTATAAATGGAATAAACATAAGCATACACATATCTATGGAATATCATAAAGTGTGGTTTGTAGATACTTTACCATCTACTGGCCTGTGCACTGCAGTGAAAGGATAGGAAGAGGAATTGAGAAACGTAGAAACCAAAGAGCAATTCAACATTGCTCTGACTTGACTTTGCTTCTATCTTTACTGGACTGGGGTGCATTGGAAACTTTAAAAAATAAGTAAAAGGAACTATTTCTTTCATAATCATGAAGACCACGGTGTTCTTTGTTGATTTATACAGTATAGTAACTTGTTTTATACAGGGTGTGGCCGGGAATCCTATGGTGAAATCTGTGCTTGATAAGACAAAGCATTCAGTAGAAAGCATGATTACAACGCTGGACCCTGGCATGGCTCCTTATATCAGTATGTACATACGTTAGATCTGTATCTGCCATATGCTTTTAAAATATGCATCAACATCGAGCCACTGAATCATAATTCTCAGTTGATTTCCACTGGTCATGTCATTAGTGGAAATTCTTTTTATCTTCTTGAAGTAAGTCTTTTCAGCATTATTAATTTATCTTTTTCTTAGTCATCATTAAATAAGTTTTGGAAACTCCCCCTGAGTCAATTTTGTAGGAATAAAAATATCAACTGTTAGTATCATTACTGATTTTAACTGTAAATATGTGTTAGTGCTGCTTTATGTTAACTTTATTTACTCTTGCTTAAAATGATGCTTTGGCTATACTTGGTTCTGATTAAATGTCCTTATGTTTAACTCGGAATGACTTTTAAAAGAAGGTAATCTAGTTATTCATAATAACTGATTACTAGTTCTTTGTTTGGTTTTTTTTGGGTACTGGGGATCAAACTCAGGACCTGGCTCTTGCAGGGCAGGTGGTGGAACCACTGAGCCAAATCCCCAGCCCACTGATTACTAGTTTTGTTGGGAAAACTATTTTGACTGCCTGTGAGCCCCTGTCATCAAGAATCCTCCTCCAAACTGGATAAAGAAGATGTGGTTTTTCTATAAAATGGAATATTACTCAGCCATAAAGAATGAGAACATAGATTCATTCATAGGAAAATGAGTACATATTGAAGATATACTCCTAAGTGAAATAAATGTGTAAATACTGAATAGTTTCTCTGGTGTGAATAATCTGCAATAATACAGAAGATCCTAATAAGATTACTGACATTGAGAAATGGGAAGAAAGGAGCTAAAGGTGTAGGGAAGGTGGGACGGGTAGGGGAAGGGTAAAAAGGGAAAAGAAGAAAATGTGAGATAATGAAAAGATGGAAATAAGGTGGTTGTAGATGGGGAGGTGAGGAGGGGGTGAAGGGAGGGCAGGGACAAGGGGAAAAAATGAGAACCAAGACTTGTCATGTAGAGGTACAAGATCCCAACAATGAATGTAGCTGTACTGTATCCCTAAAGTGTACCAATAAACTCAATTAAAGCTGAAAAAAAAAAAAAAGAATCCTCCTCCAGACAGTTGTCCCTATAGATGGTGTCCTATTTAATTTTTATGTATCTCTCTAATATGTGAATAAATACTGTGGCTCATCTGAGTCAGTGGCCACACGACAGTATTTCTCCTGAAGATCATTTGTAAGCCAAACCTATATTCAGTAGGTGCTTGAACAGAAACTTTTAGTGACCGTGAAAGGCCAGTAGCTTTGACTGGCCTTGATGTTGATAGTTTTGGATTAGGTTTTGATTAAGTACCATTTATTGAATGCTTGTTATGCCAGGCACTAATTCACAAGAGCCCTGCAAGTTAGGTATTTTTTTCAAGTTTTGGAAAAAAAAACGGGTTCAGAGAGGTGTAATTCACCATCCTGAATCACACAGTTTAGTGGAGCTAGTAGATTGAGCCCATGTTTAATTTTTTTACATTCAATCACTTAGCTTCCCTTGAAGTAGAAACTTGAATCAAAAATTAATTCAGCTAAATTGTTCATTGTGTTTGGAACTCTCCAAAGGATCCAGAACTTGGACTTTGTAATATATGTGATTTCCTATATTCATAATAATCCAGTTTGATGTAATGCACCATATATGTTTTCTTCATTTGTACATATTTTGAATGAAGGAAAGGAATTAACCTTTTTTGGGTATTTTTTGTTGTTTTAACAAGTGTACTATGTTAGACCAAGTATTTAGTCCTTACACCACTATGAGGCATGGGTTTTTTTCTACAGAGAGACGAGCTCAGTTGGTTCCCCAAGGTAACAAGCTGGGTCTGGAACCCAAGACAGTTTCTGAAGCCAGTAGTCTCAACATCAAGAAAAAGGAATAAAACCAAGGGAGAGGGTACGGACGTGAACTTTCTGTTAATTACTTATCTTTAAAAACAGTAATGAAACCATGAAAGCTGATGCTTCACCAGCAACACAAATAACACTATTCTGATATAACAAAGCTCAGTAAAGCTTTTGGCATTTTTACATAAATATTCCATAAATCACTGGATCCAATTATTTCTTGTATATTAAGGAATCACACTGGATTTTAACTTCATTTCAAATGAAATTTTCTGCATTCTTTTCATTCTTTTTCTGTCCTTATTAAAAGCATTTCACTCATCACAAAGTGAAAAGCCTTTGGCTGCAACACAGTGGAGCAGTACTTAGCTAGAACTGTGTTTCATATGGAGGAAAAAGTGAGAAGAGTATCCTTCCTCTTCTTTCCTGTTTGACTCTTTGGTTGTACTAGTAAGTTCTGAAATTCCCAGTAAAGATGTGATCTGTGGAATATTACATTAAACAGGGAAAGGATCCATGATAAAATAACTTAACTCTTCTACGAGGTACTTAGCTAGAAAACAGCCTTGTTCCTGGGGCAGAATGTTTTATATTACAAATAGCTTTCATGAGAAATTGGTTAGCAGTGGTAATCATTAATGCCAACTATCAGAATGTGTGCTTAGAAGTAGGCTTTTGAATTCACTGTACAGGTTGAGCATCAGTGATCCTATGATGTGAAATTCAAAATGCTCCAGAATCTGAAACTTTTTAAACACTGACACAATTCCACTTGTGTTTGAAAATGCCATACCTGCCCATGAGACAGATTGTCACCAAAATGCAGGTACTCAAAATAATTTATAACATTAACTTTAGGTTTTGTGTATAAGATTTATATGAAATAGAAGTAAATTTCAAGTAAATTTAGTAAATTTAGACTTGTGTCTCATCCTCAGGATAATTCACTGCATACAGACAAATATTCCAAAATTTAAAAAAAATCTTCAAATCCAAAACATTTCTGGTTTTAAGCATTTTGGTAAGAGATAACTCAACCTGTATCACAGATAGTAAATTAAGATTTTTACAAAACAATGGCATATATTTGGTCAAATTATTCTAATTAGCAATAATTGCACATGTTTTTAAAATAATTGAAAAATTTTACATGTTTGAACTTAATATGTATTCAATCTTTTTGAATTTCAATGTTTTATATTTCCATTTTCAGATGCACTTAAATATTTGTATTATGACAGTAGTACACATGTAATTTACAAATAATTATCTTTGTGGTATATGCTTTCTTAAAAATAATGAGCACATACAGTAAGGTTTGTGGCCCCCACATTTAAATTATTTTCTAGATAAAAGTATAGAACATGGTAGTCTTTGGTATGTAACTTTTGAAAATTTACCACCAGTAAGAGACTTCATTTTAATTTTCTGTAGAGTATCCCAAAAGTGTAAATCAAACTTAAATTTACACAAAGTGTAAATTAAACAAGCCAGTTGTTTAAATTTCTGTGGTTGCTCCATAAGTGATGGACTGGAAACTGGAAGTTACTATACAATGAATATATATATTGGTCAACAGCGAGAAACTATTTTTATTTGCAGTCCTAAAAATGTAATGAATGTGTTCACCAAAAGTTTAATTAGAAAATAAGACTTGGCTAAATTAGTGGATAGGTATGAACTCTCCAGGAAAATAATCTCTTTTCATATTGGTATATCATTTTCCAAATTGATACGTATGGACCAGTATTAGGAGCCATCATTAGATGCTAAGAAAGTATCCAGTGAACAGAATAAATATGGATATAACTGGGTTGAACTCATTATTTTTAATGTTGGATTTCTCAAAAGCTTAGATATGTTAATGTACATTGTGAATTTCCTAGAAGCAGATGTATGTAGTATCTGCTGCTGCTGTTTAACCACAGTCCCATTTTTAGGCAGAGCTACTAATACATTCTAGAACCTTTCACAGAGTGGTAGAAAATGTGTGCCTTGGTTACGGCAGATGGGGCATGCAGAATCATTAGGAGGCCTGTGCTGTCTTCTACTTGCGAATACTGCATTCAATTTCCAGTCTTGAACCTCAGGAAGAGTTGGTTGTTTGGGGCTGAGAACATAACAAGATACTTTTAGATTAGAGTGTGATAAATTCAGACAGTGTGGTAAAAAGAGGATTTTAGTGTCTACAGACCGAGACTTGAGTCCTGACATTAGTACTAAACAGCTATGTTACTTGTCCAAGACTTTAGTTTTCTCAACTGTTTCAAAAAGTAATGATTTCTGTCTTGCATTATTTTATGAAGATAATAATCATCTTGTAAATAAAATGTTACCACATAGTATGGCAGTAATTATGAGAATTTCATTATTTTAATATGGAATTAAAATTTTCTTTTGCTCTTTGTAGAATCTGGAGGTGAACTGGATATTGTAGTGACCTCAAATAAAGAAGTAAAAGTGGCTGCTGTCCGAGATGCCTTTCAGGAGGTCTTTGGCTTGGCTATGGTTGTAGGGGAAGCTGGACAGTCCAATATTGCCCCACAACCCGTGGGCTATGCAGCTGGATTAAAAGTGAGTGATAGCTGGGCATGGTGGCGTATACCTGTACTGGGGAGCCTAAGGCAGAAGGAGCCCAAATTTGAAGCCAGCTTGAGCAATTTAGCAAGAACTTGTCTCAAAATAAAAAATTTTAAATAAAGGGCTGACAGTGTAACTTAGTGTAGAGCACTTGCCAAGCATGTGTAAGGCTCTGAGTTCAGTCCCCAGTACTGAAAAAAAAAGTCATAGAACACCTTTTAAGGGTATGGAATCTGACAGTTAATTTTTTGAAAAGTGTGATAATGATTCTGTGGTCTAAATGGAGCTAATGTGTTTACTGAAATACTGAACAGCTGTGTTTAGTTAGACAACTCTTTAGTATTAGGAAGATATTACAGAGTTTTAATTTAAAGAAATCTAAGATAGGTTTTGATTATTGGGGGAGGAGAGGAAATAAACTCAGAAAGCATGTGTTAGTTACTTCTCTTGTTGCTCAAACAAAATACCTGACACCTAAAGTTAAAGGAGGAAAGGTTCATTTAGCTCACAGTTTGTAGATGTTTCAGTCCATAGTTGGCTGGCTCCAAGGCGGGGTGGCAAGGCAGAGGGGGATCGCAGAGGAGAAATAGTCCATGGCAGGCAGGCAGGTGAGAGCACGTTAGTCTTCTTTCTGTCCCTTACATTTTATGCAGGCCGCCCGCAATAGTGCAGAGGTAGCACACACACCCTTAATCCTAGCCAGAACTGTGCCAGACCAATTGGTGGACTGATTACTAGTCACACATCCTTGATCCCAGCACCACACACCCTAGATCCAGCCACCTCTGAAAAGCCCCTCATGACCGCATGTTGCTTTGGGGGGCATCTCAATAGGCCATAACAGAGCACAAAGAATTATTAGTCTTACAAAGGATTTAACCCAGTATTAACATTCACATCAATTACTGAAATTACAGTATCCTTTGGTTCCCATAACTTTTTAATTATCTCTTAATAATACAGAAAATGTTTAAGTTCTGGGAATTCTTCCCTCTTATACATTGTTAAATTTTTTTGATATTGTAGTGTTACCAGCATACATATAATCAAGCATGAACAAAGTGAACAGCCATTGGCATAGAAAAATCTCTTCCTCCGTGAAAAACAGAGATGCCAAACAAAACCCTCTACAAATTCTTTGACCTCACATCCCCTGTACCTGCTACTTTAGGTTGCTTTCTTTTGCACCATAAGTCCTCCCGGAATCACCAGTAATTGTCTTCAGTTCTTCTTTTCATATTCTTCATTCTCTACCCCAGTCAGGTTTCTGCCCCCAGACCTCCACTGAGAGTTGCTCACTGTCACTACAGGTGCTCCCTCTTTTTGAGTTTTCAGTGGGTTTCAAGACCTTTAGCCACTCTTTAATGTTTTCACTTAACTCCAGGAGACACGCCTGTGACTGTGGGCCTGCTGTTGTTTGTTTGTAAACTTCACTGAATGTTTGCTGCTTCTGCTTTTCTTGTGCTGCTTTCTCCTTCCCAGCCTCTTGGTTCCCCATTTGCCCCTATCTTTAAACACCATCTCTGTGTGGACCATTCCAAGCTTATATCTTCACCAAGACTTCTCTTGTAAACTTTTGATTTATATAAAAGTTGCCTTTTGACAACTTTACTTGAATGTCTCAAATTTAATATGTCTGGAACTTAAATTTTCTTCTAGACTTGCTCACTTAGCCCTCTGGCTCTCAATGGATGACATTTCTAACCTTTCTCAGGTGAGAAATCTTGGAGGCATCCTAAGCTTCTGTCATCATTATTCACAATTCATCATAATCTAATCCATCAAGAAATCTTGTTTGCACAACTCACACAGTTTTTGTTTTTTGCTGTGGTTCTGTTCTTCAGGGTTGCTGCAGAAACTGAATTAGTGAATCTTGAACCATTGCCCATGGCGGAAATACAGGATTAGGTCCCTGTGGGATTTTGGTCATAGCATTTTTGACAGTCATATATAGCTGTTCTGTGCCTGTGTGTATATATGTTATATATACATATTTGATTGATTATATTGAACTGTCAGCCAACAGCACTGTAACTCATGCTTGAATGATGCTTATTGCACACATGCTTGTTTTACACTTACGACACATCATTCCTGTTGTGCGAAAGCACACTGGACAGCACTTCACCACTATCCTTGGGGGGCCACTTGGAAGATGTAAATCAGCAAGCACAAAAATGCAAGAAAAGTGGCACTAGATAGGAAAGAAAAGACACTTGTTTATCGTATGCAACATGAAACAAGAAAACAGAATATCCTTTGTTTGACCTAGCTGAAAATGTGCACATCAGGCAACCCAAATTTCTTACAGTTCTGTGTATGTTACAAATGAATTTTGGTGATTAGTTAGATTCACCAACACAGAATCCACTAATAATGTGGATCAACTGTATTTATATTTAAGGAAAGTGCATTTTGGTTTTTGACATTCTTATATTATATATAAAGGCACTTAAATAGTATACATTTATTGAGAGCTCCTATGAGCCAGGTACTTTAGACACTATTCACTCATTTAATACATGAAAAGTAATGGTAATTAGGTAATTGGTAGTCTATTTCACTGGACAAAAGTCTGGTGTATTGATTATAAGTAATAACTAACCACTGCTTACAGTTACCCCACACTGGTGCTATATTACTTTTAATTTTACCAGAGGACAGTGCTGCCTGTATTAGAGGTGCTTTTTCATTTATATGCAGCACTTTTAAAAATAGGATATGGAGCTTTTCCTGTCCCCACAAGTACTCTAAAAGCACTTTATGAATTTGGGGCTGTTGGGGAGTAGTTATACTATATCTAAATGTAGTGAATGACTTACACAACAATTTACCTATATCCTGCCTTTGTACTTTTCATAAAGTACAAAGTATCTTTTCATCTATGGTATATCCATAGATCAGTGGTGCTGAGAACACATTAGAAATGTTTCTACATTCTGGTGGGTTTCCCCTGAATTTGATTACCAGTGTATATTTCCAGTAAGGCTTTCTGGGATGTACAGCAAAGCTAACTGGTGGCTGTAGGGTTTAAATGTAGTCTCATCTAGACATGAAAAAAGTATGGCAAGTAGGTAAATATGTGATGCAATAGTTGTACATCTAATCAGTTATATACGAGGTAAATCATAATATTTATGTGTGTGACTTTTATTTGAAGGACTAGAACAGGTCATATATGTAGCTTGAGGTTGTACTTTCAAGATTTCAAGAATGTTTTTGTAAATTGGAAAGGGTTTATGAATCTGGAAAGGTAGACTTTTTCAGATTTACTTTGAGGGGGCAATCTGGAGAAAATACTAAAATAGCTTTTGGACAAAAAAAAAGGTAACTATTTTTTGAAAGTAGACATAAAAGCAAGGGCTTTGTCTAAATTGTGAAGCATTATATAAATATGATACGGAGGCATATCATTCTTTTTCTAGCTTTTACCATAAAACTATAAATTTGTCAAGGTTTTTTTTTTTCCCTAGAACATTAGTGGAAGCTAATGTGAAGAAATAGAATCTTAAAAAAAAAAACCCATTGTTTTGGTCAGATTTCAATTGAAGAAAGTGGCTTTTCTGAACCAAAGTTGTCCTTTAAACATGTGAAATTATTTAAAACAAATCATTTTAGCCAAAATTAAAATTTAAGAAATTTCTGAGATTTCTATGTCAAGCATTAATTTTATTAAAACAGTCATAGTTATGACCATTGTTTCATAGTTTATATTCAACAAATAAAGATGTGGATAATATCTACAAACATTTCTGAAGATATGTAAAATTTTAATTATTCATCTGAACTAAGTTGAAACAATTCTAAGGCACTTCAGTGTTGTAGTTCAGTCTGAGATTATTTCAAAGTGGCCTTTTACCCTCCCTAATTCTTAATCCACCAAAGTCCTGTCTTGTAGCTTGTGAAAAAATGAACAAATTTAGTCTGTTCTCTGGAAGTATAAAATCTACGAATTTTTTTGCTATAGTTGTCACCTTCAAAGTGTTAGGGATGAATCTAAACTCCCACTAGTTCCCTAATAGTTTTTACTGAATTAACATTTACTTAATCTTCTTTTTAATAAAAATGTAGCCATAACCTTTCCCTGAGAGGAGTCAGTTAGCAAACTCACAGTATATACTATAAAGAATTATATTCATCTTATCTGTTATATTTTTTTCAAAATCAGCAGCTGCCTCATTTCAGTGTTATCATGCTTGATATCATTTTCACACTATATTCTTGACATTGGCCCTAAAGGCTTTGGGAAGACTATTTTTCCCCTTGTTCGCTTTTCATGTAGTCTTGAGTTCTTGTTGAACACCAGTTAGGTTAGGCACTGTGCTAGGCCCTAGAGATACGAATGAGGAAAACAGTTTAATTTTTGTTTTAAGTTGCAGCATATTTTATCTTTAGAGATGATGTTTAGATCATACCTGTTCTCATACAGTTGTTACTTTCTTTTATTTCATTTGTCTGAAAAAATTCATTTTTCTCCGAAGTAACTGAGCTTACTTTATTTTTATTTGAATAAAAATTGAACACTTGATCTTACTTCCTCTGTGTACCTCTTCTGTCTTTAAAAATATGTAGGTATATCATTCATGGCTGGTTTTGTGCAAAAATGATATTGAATACACTTGCCATTTGAACATTTTCATTACATCATTCATGATCACTGTTCATGAAATGATTCAGACAAAGCAATAAATAGCAACCTTGTCATCACTCATCTCCAACTTATAGTGTTCTTATTTTGAGATTTATATTTCATGATTTTGAGTTATCTATATAGTGTTCTCAGTGGTAATTATTGTTAAGAGTTAGTATAGTATGTGTATTTACAACTTCTATTTTAAGTAACTGGTCATTTTGGTGCATGGTGCACCAAATTAAAGGGAATTTAGAAAAAAGAGAAACATATGCACTATTAGTGTGATTACCCACCTAAAAAGTAAAGAGAGACTCAAGTAAAAATACTCTAGATTTTTATTCAGTAAGATGGCCCCCTTGACAGATCGACATTAAAAAAAATAGTTTTCTTACATTAATAATCAGTTAGAAAATACGATTTAAGATTGACCCATTTAACATTTGCAAGCAACATGGTAATGCATATGGGAACAATCTAGAAGATGGACCCCAGACTTAATAGCAGGAATGTGATTGGCCTTTCTCATTCTTTGCTCTTATGTAATTCAAGTTTTGTATTGTTTGAATATTTGCAGTGTGTTTGTGTGCGTGTGTGTATAAATTATCTATATATTGTATAATCAAGTGAATAATTAAAAATTAGTGTATTAAATATTTGATATGTTAGAAAAATTGTTTCCAATCTATACCATTGTCATTTAGGGTGCCCAGGAACGCATAGATAGCTTGCGTCGAACTGGAGTAATCCATGAAAAACAGACTGCTGTGTCGGTAGAAAACTTCATTGCAGAGTTGCTGCCTGACAAGTAAGAGGCTTACTGTGTTTCTCTTAGAAGCAAAATGCAGTTGGGCCTGGGAGTTCATGCTAAATACCTAGAAGAGTATCTCCTGTTTTAGATTCAGAGAGAAAAGTATGTTCTCAGATGCTGTTGTGTAGTTATCTTCTGCTGTGTGAAACCTAAATACCTTAAAACCATAGTTCTTCTTAAGGCCTTTTTAAGTAACATGGATTTTCAGATAGGCTTGTTCAAGTCCATCTTGTTTTACCAGCCACACGGAGAGGAAGAGAGATGGAGTCCCCATTGGCTGTCTTTGAACATGCTTAGTCTAGATTACCAATGTCCTCTTCCCAAGGTGGCAGCAGGAGCTAGGATGTCAAGAAGTGTATGAAGGCGGGGGAAAGGAACTAAAAATTTCCTTACCCAGTGGTACTAGGGTCAAAATGGAAGAGTAGTTTGTATGGATGGCAGTGGTTATAGTTTTACGTTGACTGAATTGAAGAGAATGGGAAAACTGCTATCCCATTTGAAATATTAATAGTCGCGTTTTAGAAAACAAAGCACTTGGAGCTTGAGTGTGTGTTCCCTAGCGTGATTAAATAAACCTACTTAGACCTTCGAAGACTCTGCTTTTTAGGAGGTGCATGTGTAATAGTTTAGTGAGTTTGTTATCCATGGTAGACATTATTGTGTACAAATAATGTGAAATGGTGCAAGGTAAAATTTAGCTAAACTTGGTTTTATGGAGATTTCACAAATACATTTTCTTAATTGAGAAATATTATCATAACCAAATATGATTAGTATAACCAAATAAAATAAATGTCATTTTTCTTTAAAGTTGTAGGATGCGACTACTGCAGATTTTCAGACTGCCATTTTATCATTCATTAGTTGCTTATGTTACTCTATATTTTACTTGGTGGTTTCTCTGAATATGTAAATGTCTCTTAATCCATTTTTTTGTTGTTGTACTTTATTAGATCTACATATGTTTAAAAATAGAGATATTGAACATTGTACTGTGCCATATGCTCATATTGTCTAAATTCATAACTTCAGGGCAGCTGGTTGTTTAATAAATTTAGTAGCTAAGATTCTGGTGTTGCTAGAATTGTCTTCACATAAGCAAATTTAAGGATTTTTAAAAAATAGCTTCCTAGAGGGCTGGGGATTTGGCTTAACGCTTCTGCCACCTGCCTTGTAAGTGAAAGGACCCAAGTTCGATTCCTGGTACAAAAACAAACAAACAAAAAAAATTCCTAGTATTTTTAAATAGAAGGAAGCTTTCTTGATTTTATGCAGATGTACTCAAAGCCTGATTCATTGTGAAAAATGCAGAAAATATGATTTGAAGGATTTATTCATGAGAACAGTATCATTTCCTTCACATAAGTTTATTTTAAAATTTGCTAGTAACTTCTAGCTGGCTGCTTATTAGTGATAGAATTGGTAACATAAACTTTCCATATTTTAACAAGTAACATTATTATTTGTAAATGCTGTTGTGTGTTCAGATGAGTGTAAACTTTTCTTTTGCATATTTGTGTAACACTCCTTTCATTATTCTCTCCCATTTTAGAAAGAAAGGAAACTTTCTATGATCAGTAACTTTAAATTATTTTGTCTTTGTTATTTCCCATTCTTTTTCTCCTTTTTAAATTAGGCCAACAGAATAATTTTATCTATTGTTTCAGTGGTTGTCTTTTTGCAGAATAATTAGAAAAGCTTGTTTTTAAAATCTGATGTTTTGTCTGAATAGTAAACTTGTTTGAATAATAAACTTGTTTTTCCTTTTTATCCATTCACTGTAACTTTTATTTGCCATGTAAACAAAATGAAGCCCATGTGTTCTATTCCAGGTGGTTTGACATTGGGTGTTTGGTAGTAGAAGATCCTGTTCATGGCATTCGTCTAGAAACCTTTACCCAAGCCACACCGGTGCCTTTGGAGTTTGTACAGCAGGTTGGTTTTCTCCTTTTCTCTGAGTAAACTTGAAATACTGTTTTCATTCTTTTTTCCTTTTTCTTTTTCTTTCTTTTTTTGGTACTGAGGATCAAACTCAGGGCCTTGTGCTTGCAAGGCAGGTGGTGGTACCACTGAGCTAAATCCCTGGCCCTGAAATACTGTTTTCAGAATAAAAATTTGTGCTAGATTTTTTTTTAAAAGAAATTATGTTCTTGATTTTGTCTGTCTTTTTTTATGTTTTATTCTTTATTTGCTTTCCTATTTCCTGGGCCTTCTGTATTTTTTATTACCTCCCTACTTTTGTTTTCCATCGTCTTTTAAAAGGTCATATATCACATGTTACTTGTTCTTTTTCTCATTTTTTTCTGTTTTTTTATGATTATCTGAGATCAGGAGAAACTTTACTTTTTCTGCTTGTTTTATGCCCACTTTCATTTATTTCCTTTATGCTCCATATTTGTTTCTACTGTTCTCTACATTTCCCATTTCCTTGATCTTCTTTTTTAGTTGTTCATCTTTGGTAACAAGTTTGTATTAGAAACCTTACATGACAGTCCCATGTCTTTAGGTATGTTGAGTGAAAAAATGGATCGAATACTATACTTATCCATAGTTTCCAAAAGAATGAAAATTTCTCTAATTCTTTAATGAATAAAATGGAAGGTATGTATGTATATATTTACCTTGAAACCTTTGTACTATTAAAAATTACTTTGTTGACTTTTTTCTGTCTTAAAATTATTTGGGGCTTATAAACATTTGAAAATCTGATAAAGCATAGATTCATTTTCAAGAAAATATGGATTACATATACAGTTACATATACATTTGCCATTTGTATTCATAAAGTGGTCAAAAGCAATCCATGACCCATTTAGAAGCTTGCAGTTTAGAAAGAAAACTAAGAATTGATGTCTGAATTTTTGAAATTCTGATAGAACTTTTATTTATACCATAATTTATTCTTTTTTTTTTATTTAATTGTACTGGGGATCAAACTCAGGACCTTGCGCTTGCAAGGCAGGCTGTGGCACCACTGAGCTAAATACCTGGCCCTTACTGTAATTTGTTCTTAAAAGTTCAAGAAATTTTAAAATATATGTTTACAAACTCATTCTAATATAAAGATAATTTAAAAATTATGTGAATACTGTGTATACTGTTACATTAGCAAATTTAGATAAAATGATAGATTTTCTAGGAAAATAAATTTTACTGTTATTGATTCAGGAGTATTTGGTTAAACAGTACAAAATTGCTCTTTGATAGTCAAAAACTATATGTGTATAATGAAAATTCTATCTCACCATAAAAAAAAAAAAAAAAAAAATCTCGTCATTTAGAGAATGGTGTTCAAGTGAGTTCCTCAGAATGTCCAAGGCATGGTTGATTCTCATACTGCATAGATCATCAAAAATAAAGATAGAAAGTTTTCTAATTTGGTGTCTCAACACAAAGAAAATTTAGTCCATTATCACTTAAGAAGATGTCCAAATCATTGATAAGACTAAGAGATTAAATTCAGAAATATATAGAAGAATTTATATCCTGACCATGAAGGGTTTATCCCAAGAATGGACAGTTCACCAATAGCATTCAGTTAATGTAGCTGAACATACGAACAGAGTAAAGAAGGAAAAGGGTTCCAGCAGAATTGTTTACCAGAAATACTAACCATGTTATTAAATATTCTATCTAATTAGGATTAGAAGGCTATGTTTGTACTAGAAAATCGAGGCGGACCTCAGACCTCATGGTAAAATATTAGAAGCCCTGTAATTAAGGTTGCTCCCCTCATTGCCACTGTTAACATTGCTGTGGACTCAAGGTCAGCCCACAGTGGTCCGCAGCCAAATCTGGCCTGCCACCTGCTTTTATAAGTAAGTTTGTTGGAGTCCAGGTGCGGTGCTACACACCTGTAATCTCAGCACTTGGGAGGCTGAGGCAGGAGGATCACTGCGAGTTTGAGGCCAGACTGGGCTACATAATGAGTGAGTTCAAGACCAGCCTGAAGTGCATAATGAGACTCTGTCTCCAAAAAACAAACAAGAAAACAAAAAGTAAGTTTTTTAGAACGTGCTCTGCTAGTCTACTTACATGTTGGTACAGCTATTTATGTACTGCAGCAAGAGAGTGGAGTAGTTAAAGTGAAGACTGATTTTGAAACCTAAATTTGTCTATCCCACTTCAGAAAAAGTTTGCTGACCTCTGTACTAGAAGTTAACTGTTACAAAAGGATAGTCTTTACTATATTTTTAGGTCTATATATTGAAAAGAAATAGACATGATGCTCAGAGAATGAAGTGGACCTCTGCATTTAGATACACATATCTAAACTGTCAGTGACTTACTGCTAAAGGAATGTCCAAAAAGGTACATTTAGTATCATCCCAGTTATTATCAGGGAGTTATATATACTGTAAAATATATACAAATGAGTAGGGAAAATGGACAGCAGCCATTAATGTGATTAACTAAATAGTGCTATTCACAGGATATCATTTGCTTTTTATTCTGTTTTTTTTTTAATGTGGTATCAAAATTTAGAATGAAAATATGTGCATTAAAATACCTTCCTTTCACGGTGGTGCTTCAGTTCATGAACTCACTTCTCTCCGTGATTCTGATTGCAAACCAAATTGGACGAGCACCGAATCAAATTTCCTGTAAGGTCAGCATGGAACCTACCCACTGAACTTGATTTGGTTCTCAACCAATTTGGTTCACAACCAGAATCGTGGAAAAAATTAAGTTTGTGAACTGAGGTACCACTGTATTCACTGTTCTTTAGCTGTTTATTTTTTAAGCCATCCTGAAATATTTTATGTCTGTATTGTTTTATTATTGAACTGTTTAAATTTGGGGGGTCAGAAATCATCCTTTCAGAGATGTATAATTATCAACAATACATATAGTAATGAAAATCTGGAAAAAGACTTCATATAATTTCTTCTTATGAAACTTAAGTATAAGTGACTCTTTCCCTGCCCCCATTAAAAACCCAATTCTGAATTTTTGCGGGCAACATCAAATACCGTGCTCCTCAGAAGTGTAAGCCTAGTGTCGAGAGCATCCCTTGGGAACTAAAAAGAATGCTCTTGGGCCCACTCAGAGCTCCCAGCAGGACCTGCATTTTAAGACCTTTTGGGGGATTTGTGGGCTCATAACCATTGGAGAAGCAGTGTCTGTAATGACCTTAGTGATGTGTCTGCTGTTCTTCGTGAGACGTAGTGATGTACTAATAGAGCGTTGTAGGTTTTGAAAGAGAGTATTAGAGCTGAGTTTCCCAAATAGCAGGCTCTGAAGTAACTGTATAATGTGCACTGCTTTTCCTGGGACAGCTGTAGAGTTTCTAATTCAGGTGTTTTAGTTGGGTCTTGAGAAACTGGTTTTGCAAAAAACAAACAACAGGCTCCCAAGTGATTGTAATGCACAGCACAGTTGTGGATCACCATGCAGTACAGACTCCCCCTCGGGACTTGACACCCTGAAACAGAAAGACCCGCTCCGCTCTCCACTGCTAAGCAGAGAGTATTCTTTTATACCTGTGTGGATGAATAAGTGCTTTGAATAGAAGCAGATAGAGGTTGGGTCAAGTGTGAATGATATAAAATGGCTCGATGCTGTCTTAGACGGGACATTATTTGGTATGTGTAAGCTTGCTGATGTGTTAGTCATGTTCCTGGGGACCCTTTCCACAGACGAATTGAGCAGTTGATGCCTTAATGTGAAATTTGGCTCTGTTTGGTTGGAATCTTACAACTATTGAAAGGTAGTTTTAATGATATCATATAGCAGTGTCAGATAGCAAGAGTGTAAGGAAACTAAATGGTGATTACCTCTGGAATGATACGGAAGTTAAGGATTGGGATGCTGATAATGTGCTCGCTTTTGACTTTGTAGTGGTTATGTTTACCTGATCCATTATAATAGTTTATTGTCGAGTGCTTATGTTTTGTGTAGTTTCTCTCTGATAATAAACTTCAGTAAAACACTGAAGAAAAGAAGGTAGCTTTAGCATGAACATCATCATCAGCAGCAGCATTGTCATTATTATTGTTGTTGTTGTTGTTATTCAGTACCAGGGACTGAACTCAGGGTCTTTGCGTTGAGCTACATCCCCAACCTTTAAAAAAAATGTTTTTTTAAATTTTGAGGCAGGGTCTCACTGAGTTGCTAAGTTGAAGATGGGACTGGAACTTGGTGATCTTCTCGCCTGAGTGTCCACAAGTGCTGCATTGTAGGCAAGCACCAGTATGCCTGGCCTCTTACTGACCCGGTGTGACACTGAAAGGACAGCTAGAATTCAAGCCTTTGATCCTGAGTTCTGTTAAGAGGTAGAGTGGGGTTAGATTTAAAACCTCATCATCCATACAGCCCTTGGTTTAATTCCCAGCGCTGCAAACAAAGGAAAAAAAAAATTATATTTGAATGGAAAAAACGAGCACAAGGGGGATATTTCTAACGAAGTAGCTGTGTGCACTATTACTTTTGATTGTTCTGTAGCCCTATAGCTTTAAGCCCTTGGCAGCGTAGATGTGTTTCTCAGGGTTTGTCATAATCTATATTAAAAGTCAAGACTTTGAGATGTCACTTACGTGGTAGCTACTTCCAGTGACGGTATTTAATGAACCATACTATTCTGGATTTTGTGTTTCCATAGGCTCAGAGTCTAACTCCCCAGGACTACAATCTGCGGTGGTCAGGCCTTTTGGTAACAGTGGGCGAAGTCTTGGAAAAGAGTGTACTAAATGTCAACCGGACTGACTGGCACGCAGCTTTTACTGGCATGTCGCGTCGGCAGATGATCTACAGTGCGGCCAAAGCCATCGCGGGCATGTACCGGCAGCGCCTGCCACCCCGCACCATGTGAGGGTGACTCTTCCCTTCCCACTGGCTGTTCAAGAAGGGATCATGCCTTCTTCAATGAATCTAATGGTTTTTATAATTTTCCTGTAGACTGCCATTTTTTTTCCCCCTAGAAAGGCATGGTATCATTCCAATGGAAGAAAAACAAAGATCTTTTTTATAATTATATAATTTCTCCTACCCAACTTCTCAGAAGAAAAAATACAGATATATTTATAATAAAGCACAACTGAATATACCAAATTCATAAAATGGGAATTCATGTGCAGAGACATTTAATTTAGTGATTTGTACTTGATTTTGTTTTTAAAGTAGACATGTTAATTAAGTATTTTTAAAAAGTGTTCTTTTTGCTCTGTGTATGCGTGATCTCAGGTCTCATGGTGGGCAGTGTGCTCCACAGTTACCCAAGACACCTACTTGTAGGGAGCTGCTGCTCATCTCTGCATGTTTTATACAGTAGAGGCCGCAGAACGGAATCGATCATTGCTTTTTGGTCATCATGTACACACATAGTTTGGAAAATTATATGTGCTTCCTTTTTAAAAATAATTTTTGGCATCTTACAGGTTTATACTATGAACATCGGGATAATACCTTGTATTTTTTCATCGGCGTATGACAACTAAAAGACAAATGACCCAAGTGTATTTTGTGTCACACCTGTTTGTGTTGTTTTTATGTAATACTTCTCAGCACTTCCAAGGGTACATTCTGACAACAGCCACTGTTTTACTTCTGCTTATGTTCTCCACACTATGAAAGAGAAATTTTTGAGAGAGGCTTAGTTTGCTTCTTAGAGGATGGGATGTAAACTTCTTATTTTAATTAAGGTTACTTCTTACTTGGTTGCCTTAAGCACTACTTTTTTAACTTTGTGCCATTCTGCCTTCACTTTTTGTAGACATTTTCAAAGAAACTTTTATATTCAGTCTAGTTATTTTAGTCCATTATGTTTGTATTTTGTGAAAGCATTTTCTTCCCTCAGATAAAATATTTTGCCATTTTTGGACTTAGGTAAATCAAAAGTGAGTAAATTTTTTTCTTACACAGTGGAACTCTGCAAGTGCATGTAACTTTTTAACGATAGTTTCAATATAAATAATTTAATTTTTATGTACTCTTCTGTACAGTTATTCAGATGTAAAAAGTAGCACAATGTCTGGCAGTTTTATAAACGGTGTCAAAGCCCCTGTCCTGCACTGTTTTTACATGTAAGGTTTGTTTTGTAGTAACGTTATTTCTAATGATTCGTTTCTCCCATTTGCTACCTGAGAATGAGAAGAATTCTTAGTTTTGAAACTGTTCATTTCCAAGCACTGTACAATGACTGGTGAAATTCAGACTTCAGTGTCATTCAGAGTAGTGAGGGAAATTAGACACAATCAGTTGCTGTTGTGAACTTTTGCCCAGGAGTAGTAGGGACAGAATACTTTTCTTTGTCCTTTGTAAGAAAGAAAAGCCTTTCTCTACCGTTTGCATCATTCCTGGTGCTATCCTTTTCTTTTGGTATTTTATCGGGGGATTGGCCCCGTGATAGAAGCACAGTCTTTTAATACAGTCTGGAGCCCATAGTTAAAATATTTCTGACACTTTCTCTCCTATTACAGGGAGATATCGTAGGTCCTAAAAATATCTGAATTTTTTTTCTTTTCCTTTTACCAAGTCTAAAACATCTTCCTTGGTACTTTTTTTTTTTGGTACCGGGGATCAAACTCAGGTCCTTGCGCTTTTAAGGCGGACAGCAGAACCACTGAGCTAAGGCCCAGCCCGCTCCCTTGATGCTTTTGAGGGTTGCTCTAATAAACATCCGTTGGCGTTTCAATGGGTAGTGTTTTTCTGCAGTCCCCAAACAGCCATGGCGGAGCTACTCCGTGGCTTGATTGAAACTAGACGAATGTCCTGCGCCTGGCAGCCTGGGAGGTAAACTTTCTCCTCGGAGCGGTGTGAGCGGGTGAGCGGGGTGAGCGGTGTGAGGAGGGGCCGCGAAAGGCAAACAGAAATCGGCGATCTGGCCCGGCCTCGAGTCTTTTCTTGGCCTCTGTTCTCTGTGAAGGCGTCAGAGTGCACCTGACTCCACATGCTCAGCTTTGACACCTTCTGTTTGTCTTCCTGGGCTTTTCCTGTTAAGCAGGAGCAAGAAGAGTAACTCACTGTGTGTAGCGCACGGTGGCGAGAGCCAGCGGTCTTACTGGCGACGTTAGAGTGTGGTCACCAGTGTGAGGCCGCAGGTTCCCTTACCAGCCCCCAGCCCGCCTGGTTCTTTTCTCCCCCTTATAATTCCCACATTAGCATCTTTTAGGGGAGTGGGTGGGTGTTTGTATTGTTTTGTTTCTTAAACTTTAGGAACACCCATCTTCAACACAATTCATAGTAATTGTGGTTATTTTTTATTTTTTTTTCCCCTGAAGTGCTCCGGATTACTGAATTTTAAGTTTTATATATTTAACCCAAATCATTTAATTTTGTAAGCTTACACACTTTCTAATTAGGGGAAAAAAACCAGGAAAAATCAGACTCAGGTTATTCCTCAGTTTATTCAGTTCCAGGCTTTTAAAAAAAGAAATAATAATTTTTATATTAATAATGTTATTTTTCTTTTTTTTTGGTACAGGGTTGGGGCTTGAACCCAGAGCTTCATGTATACTAGGCGAGTTCGTTACCACTTAGCCACACTCAGCCCCCTATTAAGTTTTTGCAACAACCCTGGACCTAAGCTGTCCCTTAGAGACTGAAGTTGTAAAAGCTTTAGGTGATACTGTAGTTTCCACTTTGATTCTCTTGTCATTTTTGCCTCCACATTGTTTATTCTTCAGTCTCCTCAGGATTAATGAAGTAGAAAATTCAGATGGTATAGGTTAAAAAAAAAGTATGATCATCTAAGTATATAAAGGTACACATGCAGTTGTATTCAGAAATATGCAAATTAACAGTTTTTAACTCAGGGTCACCTAAGTTGACATGCTGTTTAATTTTCTCTGTTCTGTGGCTTGATAAAATTCTAAACATGACTTTGTGACTTGTGAAGCCAAATTGATAATATTCTTTGTTTTAAAAGTTGTCAGGTTAAGTGTAAATTATTTAAAAATATGGATTTTTACTTCTGGATGAGGTGTTCATTTTGTGATAATCAGAATAATGTATGAGTAAAGTCAATTTTGTAAGTATGTAAATATGTCATAAATAAATAATGCTTTGACTTATTTCCCAAAGGTATATAGTGATTTTTAAATGCCCATTAATATTAATGTTATATTAGAAGAAGCCACATTTCTTTTTCTGTCTAAATTGGTTACTAGCTGCCCAGAATTGTTATAGAAAAGCAGCCTCAGACACCGTGCTCGTGGGACTGTAGTGTGCAGATCCAGCGGGATTGTTACTGTCGAGGTGAGAGCATGTTTAGGAGTAAGGGTACACTGCAGCTAAAGGTAATTGAGCTGGACGTCACAGCCTATGTTCTTTTTTTTCTTTTTTTGGTGGTTTTTTTGAGACAGGGTCTCACTACATAGTTGAGACTGACCTGGAACTCACTGTGTAGCCCAGGCTGGTCTCAAACTCAAAGGGATCCTCCTGCCTCAGCCTCCCGAGTGCTGGGATTCCAGGCGTGAGCCACCACGCCCGGCTTACAACCTGTGTTCATAAGGAAATCTGTTTAGTACTGGATTTAATTTACCTTTGACCACTGGAAAGGCCTTTTTTGGTCAGCCAAAATCCTAGTGTACATTAGGTTCGTTTTGGTGCTGTACATAGCCTTAAAGAGATGTACAATGACATGTTTCTGTTATTACAATGTCACAAAGTATTTTCATTCCCCTAAAGTTTCTCCATCTTCTACCTGTTCACACCCAGCTCCCACCCCAGACCTTTTGTGCCCACTAATCATTTCACTGTCTCCTAGTTGTCCTTTTCCAGAATGTCCTACAGTGTGATAGCCGTTTCATATTGGCTTCTGCTTAGTAGTACACACTAAAAAGTTTCTTCTGTGCAGTTTTGTGGCTTGGTATTTCTTCTTAGTGCTGAATAACTGTCTGTTTAGACGTTCCACAGATTGCTTCTCTCTTCACCTGAAGATGGCTACCTTGGTTGTGTTCAGGCTTTGGCAGTTAGGAATAATGCTGCTATAAATGTTTACATCCAGGTTTTTTGTGGACCAGATTTTCAGCTTCTTTGAATACCTGGAGTGCAGTTGCTCTTACGGTGAGAGTTAGGGTTCATTTTGTTTAAAATGCCAAAGTGACTGTGTTCTTAAAAAGAAAAAGATTATTTCTTACTATATATGCTATTCTGAGTTTATGACCCCAGGACGAGAGATGTGTTTTGGTTTAGCTGGGTGGGAGCTGCAGGGCTTAGGGTGGAGTGGAGGACCCGTGCCGGAAGACAACAGAATACTGGTTGGGATGGGCTGGTTGTTTGCCAAGAGAAGACAACATATTTGATAGAATAAAAGTATCCTTTCTGAGATCAGGAAAGACCATATGAAATTTATATTCAATTTCAGAATTAACTGGAGAAAAGTTTTGGCAATAGAAACCAAATTGGCAACAGAACATGAAGGAGGTTTAAAAGTGAATTCATTTTAAGAATCAGAAGAAACTAATCTATATGTATGTATTGTTGGTTAGGCACTAAACTAGAAACTCAGTCATTGAGCCTTCAAGATTTTCTACCATTTTTATAGATGATATATATATAGATATATTCTAGGTACTATAGATAAGAAACAAGTCATTTGTTCAATATCATAGCTGAAGAATCACAAAATTCAGTGTGTATGATTTGCTAAATAAACTATTCTACAATATCCTGAATATTTACTTCAGGAAGTTATGGATACATAATTCTATAAGTACTTGTTGAATGAAACAATTCAAGCAATGACAGGAGGACTTTGTCTTACTATATTTCTAGTTTTACAGTTTTATCTTTAGGAAAAAGTTTTTACTCCATATCTCAAAAGGCTTTGCTGGTGTGAAAATGTGCTTGTTAGATTTAGATGTTCTACTTTCAAATTTGAGAAACTATAATTTTAAGTTTACTTTTGAGTGTCATTTTTATGATAAAAGCCAGAAATGAACTCTAGAGACATCAAGTAGGTATTTGAAGATGGGTATAGTGGTCCATGCCTATAATCCCA